CATACGTGAGGGCCGATAGGTGCTTCCCTCAGTGTAAGACCTCAATGTTCTCGTTCTCTCAGACCTGGAGTAACGAGTCCTAGAGGTTCTAGACTGAGTATCGCTTGGGATCAATGCCTGGCATGTCGTATGGTGTCTAGGCAAACACTTCGATATTAGAGGTTAAAAATTCCAAGACCTCTAATCTCTCAGTGCTGGACAACGATGAACCGAGCAAAAAGAACTTATCCGGGTTCTTTTCATCTATTCTTACCTCTACCAAGTCTTTCACCGCTTTCTGATTAGCTGTCATCTGCGAACAGTTCATTGCTCTCAGGTTCTTCCACCGAATGAACGTATCCTTTGGCAGCGTGGCTGCCATTCACCGTGATAAAGCATTGCTTGGACATAATCTGATCTCCATTGACCTCTTCAATTACACCGGTATCGTTAGGGAACCGCATTACTTGATGGTAGGATGACGCCATCGATCGCATGACATGCAGCCATGTTCTGCCCAAGATGATGTTATAAGTGGAGGGGACCTTTAATACCCAGAACTCCACTTGTTTCGTCACACTTCCTGCCTTGACTGGGAGGATTATTTTGCCACCAGGCCATTCTGGCATGGAGTTGAATCCAATTAGGGGAGATACGGCAGGTGCCACGTCTTTATCTTGTAACTTCAACCAGGTGTCAAGTCTTTATCTTGTAACTTCAACTGTTTAAAGGTGTCATAATACATTATTTCACATGAACTGCCTTGGTCTATCAAAATACGCTTGACGTCAAAATCCTTGACTCAGAGAGTGACAACCAAGGCATCATTGTGAGGGCAATATATCCTTGCCAAGTCCTTATCCGAAAAAGACATGAAGTTCGTGGCCTCTGTCTTCCCCTTCTTGATGCCAGGTTGGGCACTTTGTACCTCTCTTAAATGCTCAACCTTTTTGATTGATCCTCTGAGCTCGCATACACGCTCAGGTTCGAAAACTCCATGTATCACATTGATAACGCCTTGAGGTGGGGCGTTGATTGGCATTCCGTTGGGGTTGCTATGGTCCTGGGGGGCTGGTTGGGCCCCTCCTTCAATGTATTTATCCAGGTGACCTGCTGCCACTAACTCCTCCAGGTGCTGTCTCAATGGCGTGCAATTTTCAGTGCGGTGCCCCTTTTCTTTGTGGAAGGTGCACCATGATCTTTCGTCATAGTCCTTCTGAGCTTCCTCAAGCTTAGCCGGCCATCTGACGAAAGGTTCATCCCGTATTTCACTTAAAATTTGGTAGATCGGTTTCTTGAAGACCGTGGTTATGGCAGTGCGGACTCTCAACCATCTTTTATCCTTGTCCTCTCCGTTGTCTCGCCTGCCTCGTCCGTTTCTGTTTGGACGGTTCCATGTATCACATTGATAACGCCTTGAGGTGGGGCGTCAATTGGCATTCCGTTGGGGTTATTGTGATCCTGGGGGGCTGGTTGCGTCCCTCCTTCAATGTACTTATCCAAGTGTCCTACTGCCACCAACTCCTCTAGGTGCTGTCTCAATAGCGTGCAATTCTCAGTGCGGTGCCCCTTTTCTTTATGGAAGGTGCACCGTGATCTTTCGTCATAGTCCTTCTGAGCTTCCCCAAGCTTAGCTGGCCATTTGACGAAAGGCTCATCTCGTATTTCACTTAGAATTTGGTAGATCGGTTTCTTGAAGACCGTGGTTATGGCAGTGCGAACTCTCAACCATCTTTTATCCTGGTCCTGTTCGTTGTTTCGTCTGCCTCATCCATTTTTGCTTGGACGGTCTACCGCGTTGACCTTTACTGAGGCCTTCTTCTCTAGTGCTGTGGTCGTGCCAGATTTTGTTTTGGCATGTGCGCCATCCTCTTCTACCCTGATGTGCTGATGCACTCTCTCCATCAGGGCCTCCATGGTGAGGGGTGGCGTCATGGTAATTGAATCCCTTAGTCTGTTCCCTACTGGTAGGCCTCTTTTATATTGCGCAATGGCTAGATTGGTGGGGCAGTCCCCAATCTGGTTGAATGTCTCCCAGTAGCGACTATTGTAGGACCTTAATGTCTCTTTTTCGCCCATGTCGATGGAGAGTAGCTGGTTATTCTCCACCGGGGTTTTGGTGTTTGTTCTGAACCTTGTGACAAACGCCTCCGCCAATTGCGCCCAGGAGGCTATGCTGCTTTCTGGAAGTTTTTCAAACCAAGTCAAGCCTAGATCGCCAAGGCTTGACGGGAAGATGATGCACATTAAAGCCTCATTTCGCCGATATACCGCCATAACCTGGCGGAAGTGGCTTAGGTGAATGTAGGGGTCCGTCTTCCCCTCGTACATAGTGAATTTGGGCTAAAGGAAGCCTGTAGGTAGGGGCGCGTTTTCAATTGCCGGAACGAACAGCGAGGTCTGCAGCCTTGCTAATGCTTTGTCCGTTGGTTCGTAGGCAGGGCGTGGTAATGGCATTCCAACCTCGACGCTTCCATGCGATCGAAGAGCCAATCGTTGAAGGGAAAAAACTCTGTGAGGGTCGCGGGCCCTAGAATCTTCCTTCAAACGTGCCCTTTCTTCCAGCATGATCTGCAAATCGGATGATTTGGGCAACTCCGTTTGCCTAGATGATGTCCGGTGCGAGTGCGAGGGTCGATAGGTACTTCCCTCTGTGTAAGACCTCAATGATCTCGTTCTCTCAGACCTGGAGAAACGAGCTCTGGAGGTTCTGGATTGAGTATCGCCTGTCCTGAGGCTTCTACTTTCTGCTTGTGATGGTATGGAATACCTTCCACGGTCTTCTGAGTGGTGAGGGGGCGTTTTGCTTTTGCGCCCCTCTCCTGTCGCCACTCATTTTCCCTTCATCTGGCACTTCAAGGCCTCCATGTCCGCCGCCATCTTCCTTATTAATTCATCTTGCTCCTTCACGCGGTCCTCCAGAACTTGAGGATCAATCCTCCTCCTTTGTCTGTCAGGACTTTGTGAACGAGAGTGACGGGGG